CAGGTCCATTTCGACATAGTTGGACCATTTGCCTCGTCCAATGGAATAGTCCACATGTTGACCATGATCAATCGTTGCAGCCTTTGGTCCGATGTCGTTCCCATCCCTGAGGTAGCTGCGGCAGCCGTGACGCGCGCTTTTGTCAAGGGCTGGGTGGCTTCACACAGTGACGACCAAACGCGGTCCGCAATTTGTATCAACGACGCTTAACGACCTGCTTAAGGTCATCGGATTCCGACACATTCGTACCACCGCCCATCATACACAAGCGAACGGTATGGTGGAACGTTTTCACCAACAACTAAAAGCTGCACTCAGCGCTGCTAATGTGCTGAGTCGGACTGAAGTGCTGCCTATGATATCCCTTGGCATCCGATCAGCCATAAATACCGATCTATGTACATCCAGCGCCGAGTTAATATACAGGCAACCATTACGTTTATTTGGTGATTTCTTTTCTGAGTTCCAGAAATCCCCGTAACGACGCGAACTGTGCTCGGCAGCTAGCCACGAGCACACGTCACTACAATATTCCCAAAGTCAGAGAACAACGAAGTAAATCTCTGTTCTTCAAGACTTGCAGCACTGCCTGTTCGTTTTCCTCCGTGTCGATGGTCTCCGTAAAACATTTGAGCGATCTTTCAACGTTCAACAGCGTAGGGACCGCATCTTTTATAACGACCGCCACGGTAAGCCAGAGGCCGTCGCGAATGACCCCTTCAAGGTCGCCTAGGCGGAACCTAGGCCCAACGAACACTCCCGCCCGTCCTCCGACGAATCAACTCACCCTATGATGAAAGTCATCTACTTCCAACACCACTGACTCCAAGGAGAACTCGCCATCTGAGTCTATCACTTCAGCTTCACCGCTTGCTATTGAACCAAACGTCAAATCATCACCAATAGCTCCAACTTCGCGATCCGACAGAACGTCTAAGTCTACGACACTTTCATCCGAACCGCAGAAGTCGAGCAGGCCGGGTAGGCGAGTTCACTGACCAACGCGATTAAGGGATTACATTCTTCTCTCTACTTAATAAATATATAATGTGTCAGCTGTACCCCGTAACGGCGCTTCGCTGTCGTGCGATCACCACCAGTCGCACTACTTCTCTATTCATGCTTTGTCCATTTTGGCCAACCCGGTATGAAAACAAAAAACGGCAAAAGCTTTTGAAAACACAAAAACGAGTTTTTGATAACAAAAAAATCGCAAAAGGTTTTGAAAATCCAAAAAATGACGAGTGCTTTTATACCCGCAGAAGATTTGCATTTTGTTGGCGCTCTAAGTCATTCGGTAAGTGCCGTTGGCGTTGTTGGTCTCGCCAGAACGGTAATCACATACACATCAGTTTATGTTTCACATACGAACGGATAGGATGAGGAACTGGAAGCAAACATTTAACCATCTAGAAGTTTCCCCCATTTTGGCACCGTTAGAGAGGACACGAGTGGGAGCCCGCTAAAGCCTGATCGAGCTAGTGCTTCCCCAGCAGCTGCCCACGGTTTCACCACCCGGTCCATAAAAAGTCGACTGGCGATGGACAGTCCTCACGAAGATCGTAGGGTTAACCATGGCTTCCCTTTTAGGAAGGCTGTGTAGTGAATTGGAGATTCCATCGTTTAACTATATAAATTATACTAAAAATTTTAACACTGTAGTTTCCTTATCTATGAGGGAATTAGATAGATTGCTTGTCTAAATGCTGCTTATGCATGCTTGAGCTACACACAACAAAAACGCATCCGTTGCCGTCGCTCGGACGTGATCGGCCATTTTTGCACTCAGCACACGTCCACGTTTTCCTTAACAAGCTCTCCTGACGCTTTATTTTTAACATTAGCTGGTTACCACCCTTTCAATAAACTTTTATCATAGCTTTCCGTTGGCAAAGTTGGTGTGTAGCCCAAGACCGATGCGCTAAAATTGCACTGGCCGTCATATTTCTGTAGAATCCGAACGGTGTTCACTGCATTGTAAGGAAACCATCCCATTCATTATATACTTAAAAACATTAAAAAAGTCGCACGAGATAACGGTGTTATCGGTTCGTGTGTGATCAGCCAATGATACAGTGTCACACATACAATCGCTACACACGATCAGTACGTGTGCAGCGACAACCAATGAAATCACATAGGCATAAACATGACCATGAGATTCGGACTGATGCAACCAATCAAATACCAGCGAGATAGACATGATTAGGACATGCTTACTGCATCGATGTGGAGTGTTAAAAGTCATATCCAGTTCCAGAAGTCTTAACTTGCCAGCCTCGCGCTTGCGTTCAGATTTGTGTTGTGATTTCGCAATCCACTAAAAGGATACTGACTGTTGCAAGGTGTGAACGAGGTACTTTCATCCAGTTTAAATTATAAAAAGATGCAATTACTACCGCCAAATTACCAATATATGCTATCCTTTGTGCGGGCCAAGGGTGTGCTTGCAAAGGGTCTCGTGTTTTACACTCATGCTGTGTATCATTGCGTCGCCATTCACCCTACGCGAACCTATTACGCGTATCCGTAGACCCACTGAAAGTTGCCAGTACCGGCGATGCGATGCAATACCATATTTCACATTTTTAGATATATGATTCAGAGAGTTGTCCTGTTCTCCCAGCTGGGCATTTCTGTTGCAGACGCTTCGTTTTCACGCTGGACAATAGCCTCAGTGCGGCTATTAAGCCCTGATATATGGAGACTTGTGAGTCACTACCAGATTCGAGTGACTATTGATCGTTTCCTGCTTTGAATGTCAGCAATAGGCGTGATCAATCGGCTGACTCACGTGAGCCAATCGAAGGCCGATATTCAAAGCAGGAAACGATCAATAGCCATTCGGAGCTTGCAGTGGCTTACAAGACTCCGTAAATCAGGACTTGATAGCCGCACTGAGGATTCTGCCTAGCTTGGCAACGAAAGGTCTGTCACAGAAATCCCCAGGTAGGAGAACAGAACAATCCTCTCACCAACACACTGAACTACAGTTAATCTCAATAATTTCCGAAGCATATAACTAGTTGACACTACAGCAAACCACACAGCCATATGCGAGATGGTCTGTAGCGCGATGATCGTGCACTATATATCCGGTACGAGACTAGACGGCCAACCAAAGTCAATGGGTAGAACACACAAAAGTAAGCTAGGGAAAAGTTTATTGGACGGGAGGAGAGTTAGCTAATGCTAAAAATAGGGCATCAAAAGTGAGCTAGCTAGGGAGGATGTGGCTGGGCGTCGAGTTCGTGGACGAAGTGTCGTGCGCAGTGGAGTAGCGCGCACCAAAGGTGGACGTCGTGTTCTTGTTTCAAACAAACAGGAACAACATTCCAACAGGCAAACCGCTTAATTCCCTAATACATAAGAAAGCTACAATTTTAATATATTTTAGAATAGTTTACACAGTCATACGGGGGAATCTCCAGTTCACTAGAGGTCCATTGGTTGATCCTCACCTTGAACGGGTTGCTGAACAGAGAATTTGCCACTCCAGTTTAGACGGCTACCACCATTTGCTCGTGTGACTGACATACCTTGCAGCATATCAAGGGTCGTGACATTAGAATAATCAAAAGAAAGGAAGATTTGGTTTGAGATTAGACATTTGAGACGGTTTCAGTGTGCAGGTGTGGTGGTCATCAAACAGTCCACAAAGCTGGCTCTGAGGTATAGCATGAGAAAAGGCTCCCGTCTTCCGGGGCGAATTGGCTATGACCACGGAATCTCAGCATGGGTGCCTGTTCAATATACGCCAATCACTGAAAGTTTACTCTTACGGTAATGGCCTTCAGTACACCAGGATACATCTGATTAACACACACTTGTCCATATTACCGAATCACCTCCGTGCAGAACATGTTGACTTCAGCACCGGTTGAGATTGAACAGATGTTTTTTTGCTCTGCACCAGCTACTCGAATACGATAAATTCCTAGCACAATCTTGTCAGTATTGTATACGAGCGTATGCCAGGTGGGACCGCGGTGGATGAGACCACGTAACGATCAATCCACCATTAGACCATTTGGCAATGAAATCATCGGACAGTCGCTTCCTGTCTAGCCGTCGCTAGTTTCCTGAGAATTCCCAGTCGGGGATCTAAAAAGGAAGAAGTTCGTTGACCCGGAACACTGGAGGGATACGGCGCAGAATAAAATTCAGTGGAGGAACTGTGTGCAAAGTTGCTCGATCTACATGATCAGCGTTATAACCGCTGGAAAGTAGGAAAAGATGACAAACACAGTGCTCCTCCGTTCATTGTACACATTATCATGTCCGATATCAACATTCTTATCCCGTGGAGGATCGCTAGCATGCGTAAAATACAGCCATACGTGTGTATAACGCATCGCTTAAGTCAAATGACCGAACGTGAGATAGATCACAAAAGGAGCTGTGGGCTCAGCCCTAAACGATATTTGCATGCGACTGCTTTGGGGATGTGCACTTAACGGGAGACTCATATGGGCATTCAACAGTATGGGCCGACTAAGACCTTACAAACAGGTAAAGCGACAACCAATGCAGACCGAGAAATGGTTTTGAGTTGTTCGTGCGCCAAGGTGTGGATGAAATGAAAGGAGGCCAAACGATGACTTGGTCAATAGGAATGTACGCGCTTACTTCGAAGTTGGTCTCGGTTGGAACCTCTTGGCTCCGTGGTTGGGGTCCGAAAGACGATGAACCCGTCTGGCTGGATACAATTGTTGACATGGCCAAGAGCCAACCTCAGTTGTGTTTGTGTTGTGAGTTTCTTTGTCCCTCCCCCACTCGCTTGGCCTCCCTCTCTAACCAAGATCTCTTTCCTAGGCAAAATATAATGCTTTTCTGTGGCACAATAGTTGGTTGGTAGCTCTCCGGACAGATGCCCATCCGTTAGTGGTGGCTTAGCCGGCGTGTCTCTGTTAAATGTTTACCTTTTCTTTTCTTAAGTATTACGGCACAATACCTGACGGGTTTATCAGCTCTAGCTGATGTGTATAATGAAGGCATAATGAATGGATGTAGACCAAAAATGTATGAGGGATTTGGCTACCTCAACTAGGAATAAGCTAAACGCGTTGCAAGCATCTAGCCAGCATAGTCAGAAATAAAGTCATTTCTCGCAAAAGTACACAGAAGTAACAATCAGAAAAGGTAACGGGTTCACTGATCACCGGGAGAAAGTAGAGCAAAGTGGTAAAAAGAAAATCAAAAGCACGATTAAAGGCATTGGTGTTACACAGTACACTTAGTGTAATGGAGAGTACTCACACTGCGCAACATCTCTGCCGCAGTCTCCGGGAGTGAGTCACGTTGTGGCTCAGCCAATAATTCAAACCCGGACATGAATTTTCTCACTGTAGCAGAGCGTAACAGAGGGGGCTGATAAATCGCATACAACTGCCAATGCGGAAAGATGTCTTGAGGTGAGTTTGTGTTTGTGACGTTTTCCTCCGTGCTGTGCACAGTGTCGTCGGGGAGGAGTAACGGCGCTTGATACCAACCCATGGAATAGGGGAAGTCAGTGTGGAACAAGTTGTCATAACGAGTGAGCAATTCTTGAAGAACATGAGTCAAATCCACACGTTCCTCGATCGAAAGTTCGAACAGCCAACGTATGTGGCGTTTGCGAGGCATCACAATGGTCTCGAAAGGCCAACAAGCCCACCAAGGAACTACCACTAGCCAATGGGCGGACTGTATCACCACACGACTTTCATGAGTGCCAACAAACTTCTCCTCTTTTGCAGCATAATCCAGCAGCAGAGGTATATGATGTCGCTCGAAGTACCGCTTCATGTTCAGATCTCTTCGTCTCGCATACGACGGCAAGAAACCGCAGGCCCAAATCTATGAAAAACGAGAAAATGAGAACGGAAGTTAGGGACCAACTCAAATGAAGTAAGTGCGTTCAAAGAGAGTGGATCGAACTTGTAATTGACCAAAGGGTAGAAACATTAGAGTAGGGCTTCTATCAAGACACTGGCCTGTAGCCTCAAGGATCACAAGCCTACTTTGTAATCCGAAGGTGCGGATTCGAGTCTGCATTGGGGACAGTGCGACCCATGCAGTATCCTTAGCCCATGGGTGATCGGTGCTGGTTGCGCGGCAGCGAGGCGTGGGTACTACTGATGTCTGGCATTGTCAAGACGAATGAGACAAAAGAAGTCGTAGAGGTGACCAAGACAATCCACTACGATTCATGTGGACGGAATCAGCTAAAGCAAATGAGTTCGCTCCAGACAGTGCATGGACAAAGGATTACAGACTTGTAGGTGCCCTTTGCTTAGCTCATGACACTCAGCTGAGCCGCGGAGAAGTAATACATCGCATCGTATCGTATACATAAAGGTCTTGGACAAGGTTAGCCAGCGACGAATGTTCAGCCGGTGGTGCCGTTCTAGGTAATATCGTTCTGGTCGGTATCCAAGTAAAACATAAGGAAGTGCGCAATCGAGCGGCAATGTCACGAGTTTTGAGGCGCGGTAGAGCCAGCCTTTCGGATGCGCTCCCCCTGGATAACCGGGGGAAAATGATCATCATCATCATCAACAACAACAGTACAACAGGCATTTGAACTGATGCTTCGCTGCCATACAACCATGATGACGTATGGAAAAAAGAGAGAGGAAGAGAAGGGGGACTTACCTGAAAACCTTAATGCCCTAAGCAAACATTCAGGGTTAAGGCGCAACGAGGGAAAATAGGGTGGATGGAATAAGAAAAGATTGATAAAAACGTGAAGGGACTTTGAATAACCAAAGAAAAAAGACTGACAAACAACACCGTGTGTGGCCCCTTGGCCGCAGGAGATTAGGTCGGATCGCTGGTCGCAGGGAGATGGCATGTAAAAATGTACGCGTTTGAAGGTCATTGGTCGGCAATTCATGATCATCGTGTATGTAGTACAAGTTGAGGGACATGTTCAATGCGCACCAGAAAAACGCGCAAATACGATTGAGGGCTGTGGTTGCTTGTCCGACGTCAGCCTCTGACCGACTATCTAATCTAATCGGACATGGTTCTGTTTGCAACACCAGTACAGGTAAGGGGACTAGTTAAGCCACCAAATTGTTCCCGAAAAGGCATCGTTTAACGAACCAGACTGCTTTCCGTATTGGTGATTAGGACCCCCTTGCTGTTCTTGATTGTCCCACTGATGCGTAAGTTCCTGGGACGATTGGTGTGTATAAGCCGGAACAGCCTACGATTATTGCCCACTACCCTGACCTCCTCCATATCCTGAACCTATCGTGTTCACCAAAAATACCTGTCAGCAAGCAGGCTCCGTTTTGGCTCTCGCCTATTTGTCCTTCTGGCTAAAGTGCACTTTATGTCAACCGGTAGGTTGCGTGAGGTGTTAAACAGGCTTAAAAGTCTCATGGATATCCTGTAACTGATGCGGGGACGATTGATAGCGACACAAGAGGCTTATTTCTCGCGCATCGTGGCCTGTATACAAGTTCAATGAAACTCGTTGTATTTGGGGCAAGGGGTGAAAGTTCAGTAAGCAAGGGATCTTGGCAAACTAGCATGACTGAAGGGTGGTGTAACTTCCTAATTGTCAGTCGATGGAGACGTATTACACACCCTAGTAAGATCAATACAAAATCGACCGCGAGACAACGCCGGCATGCCGGAACGAGCGATAGTCAGGTGATAAAAGTACGCCAGTTGAAACTTTCCAGCAGTATTAGGGCTGGAAATTCTAAAGGTCAGTAAATGGAGCCGAGAGGGATAAAAGAGAAACATATGCAAAGAAAAAGAGGCATCAACTGTAGCATGTCTAAAGAAATCTGCCGCGTAAAGTGCAGCAAACAGAAAGACTCGATGGAAAATATGTGACGAACAACGCCCGATGTGGTCCTTAATATACGTAGTAGTAGTAGTAGTAGTCGTCGTCGTAGTAGTAGTAGTTGTTGTTGGTGGTGGTGGTGGAGGAGGATGATTAGGGTTCTCAACTAACATCAATGGCTCAAAGACGTGATCGCAAGGCAGCGGGAGAATGACAACAATCCGACTCTACGGCAATGGATGCCAATCCAGTTCTAAACAACAACCTTCGGATGTCCCGAAAATGGAACACCCTTTCAACTGATGTCATCCTTGTCCCTAAATTAACACTTTTCAAAAGGCGCCTTGACGGAGCATCTTCCAAGTTACTTCATTTGAAATAGCCCGTTTCGCTTGGATGAAACGACGCGAACCAAACTATGTGCTCAACAGTCCTATCCGATGTGGCGAAGAGGAAACATGCACCAGTGTTCATGTTGTGGTGGATTAAGGGTAGACACTACTGCACCAGTAGTAAGTAGTATTTGAGCGAAGAAAACCAAACGGCCAACAGCGGGCCGTAAGGAAAGGAACACTTGAGAACCGCAGACGTATGCGCGCGAGGAATGGACACATAAGCAATGCAAACCAAATAAGCACTAGAGACAGAAGTAACGCGTGAAATACAACCTTCAACAGAGAGTGCGTGGAAGAGTGGAAACTTCATTGCTCAGAACTGATGCGTCTAATTCCTACTGTTTGCCTTATTGAATAACACGCTTGCAGCTTGGGTTTTTACAATGCGAATAGCTTGGATTTCCAATGATGCACACAAGTGAGCTTTATCATTCCAAAATTGTATCATTTCTCACGGCGTACGTGGACTGCTCTCCACAGTGTATTTTGTGTGCACATTCCAATCCCATTTGGTACTATCGATATGCAACAGTCGGTAGACGCTTAAATGACGATTCACTTATCCTTTGATTCTTTGAATTTCTACTTCAACCATCCTGTGGACGGTATCACGGCATTCGCAACGCACACGCAACTGAAGGCAGCAGAGAAGTGTCGTTAGGGCTAGCCGGCATTGATGCCTGACAGGTAAGAAACATCGAAGCTGGAAGTTTCCCTGAGCCGGAGACGTGAGCGAAATGCATCGCGAGTGCGCAGAAGCGATAATTGGAGTCTAGATGCGCATCAGATCGATGTGTTCCACGGATTTAGCTGACAACTACACTGCCAATTTAAATTCGAAGTTGTGTGTCGTTCGACATGAGTCAGTTGGTGAGATACCGACGCCCGTGTTGGAAGGCGGCATTGCTTAAAGGGAAGATGCAATGGGTCCAACATTTGGTAAACGAGACACGATAAGCAGTCCAATAGGTGTAGAAACGGAAACACCCAGTCGTTGTTCGGTTTTCGATACACAAAAAAGTATTCATACCGTCTAAGACGAACGGGACAGCGGTGTTTTCCACTGTGCTGGTGAGCCGCAGTGCGCTGAGGTGATAAAAAGACACCGAGCCTTCCGATACCGTTTGCCGAAATCGAACCACGCATTTGTGTCAATTCACCGAGATGTAATCGTGTGAACAACACCGTCTTTTTTCCAGATTCAAAAAGGACACAGTGAATGCTCCGCGTTATTGGCACATTGCTTAGGAAGCATAAAACACTATACTTTCTAAACAGTGTGTAGTGAGCTGGCGATATCTGTAAAGTGACTTTAGAGATCCGGAATGGCAGCTAGCTGATCAAGGGTAGGGAGATACAATGCTGCTGTAACGCAGGTGCTCACGTATGGAATGGGAATAGTTGCCACCAGACGTCGAGCACACTCAGAAACTGGTTGCCGTTGACCATGGATACTTGTGTGATGTCGCTCACATCTCGTCCGCTAGTTCAATGCCCGTCGACCAACTGACAGCTTACTTTGACTTACATTGTTTTTACTTAGATAAAAGAAAGGGGTAGTATTTCGATAACTCATTAGAAGAAATTGATCGGCTAGCTCGGTTGGGATTGGGTCGGACACAACAGCATCAAGGTGCAGTCGCAAGATCAGTAGTGTTCATGCATTCTGGCATGCATTCGACTGATTCTGTCTGCCGCAGTTTCACAGCATGGTTAATTAATATTGTGACGGAGACCCGACAATGGAAATCGATTTACGCTACAAACTCAGTGGTTGCCGCGTGCTTGAAAGTGTAGTTAAATCCCTTGATGAGAGTTTGTTGCTCTGTCTCACTGAGTGGTCGTTTAGAAAGATTTCTGATCCAGGAATCGTTGTCATTTCCGTTCTGGTGGATGGTCAACAATGACATCTACACATGGAGCGCAGCCTGCTTCTTCATACGGGCGTTGTTTGCTCCGCGTTCTATTGTTAACTGTAGTTGTTTTATCAGTTGTTGTCCCACGGTTTGCGAACAAGTGCCTCGCTCTTCATCCAGACATCTCTCATATTTATTGACATGACTGTGAACGTCCGTTATCAGTATACGTACCATACATTTTTCGAACTGACGCGCAACATCCCAAGTCCTGGGATGGTTTAGCGGCGGTCTGTAGTTGACACTGCGGGGAAGAAGGTCTCTCCTCAATCATGAAGGAAAGCTAACTGCGGCAAAATCCTCCCAACAGTGAGCGGAGCGTTGAGCACCCGTAAGTATTCGAAATAATTTGGAACACTGGCAGCACTTTTAACAGCCATCTGCTCGTCGATCACGGACTGATAATTCAATAAGCAGGACTGCACACTATATCGCCGCATTGACGATGCCACCTCGCATGATGGCGAAACGTATGCAATCACTTTATCAAACTCGGAGAACCAATCAACAGGTGAGCAACCAACCTGGGCTACCAGTGTTCCAAACTATTTCCAATTCCTTTCACTTTCCGAGCATATATATATATATATATGTTTGTAACGGCAGTGGAAACTGGTAACAGTAACAGTGAGGTTAAAAGCTGAATGGTGGAAGCGTGAGCTTGAGAAAAGTGCATGCAATCGAAGTAAAAATAACGCGATACTCGTTTGAACATGTAATGATCTAAAGCACGAAAAGGATGTT